CTACAACAACCACCCAGCCTACGCAGCATGTCTATCCTGGTGCAGATGCTGTGTAAACCATGGCTTGCATTCCCATAACTCTACAGGTACCCTTTGCGGTCGCCGGAAGCATTCCCAAATGTTTGTGATAAACATAAGTTGCGGGCAGCTGTTTTTGTGTGTACCAACAACAACACCACCACCAACAACAACAACAAGAACAACAACAACAACCACCAACAACGACAACCACAACAACAACAACAAGGCCAACAACAACAACAACAACAACAACAACAACAACAACAACAAGGCCAACAACAACAACAACAACAACAAGGCCAACAACAACAACAATAACAACAACAACAACAACAACAACAACAACAACAACAACAACAACAACAGCAACAGCAACAGCAACAACAGCAGCAGCAGCAGCAACAACAAACTTATGCACAGTTACCTCGAGGGGCTGGGCCGAAGGATTCCAGCTTTAGACCAGGGAGCTTGGTAATGAATGAATTCTGACGGAATCTGTGGGAATCTATCGTGCAGGGTGGCCACAATTGCACTTGGAAGGCCTCGTTCACTGCCTGTGCTGAGCTTATCTGTATAGAACTTGTGTTTATCAGGTTATGCCGGGACGATTGCACAAACGAGAATCATCCCTAAACCCTAAACACTAAATCCTAAACCCTAAACCCTAAACCCAAAATCCTAAACCCTAAACCCTAAACCCTAAATCCTAAACCTTAAACCCTAAATCCGAAACCCTAAACCCTTCTAGAATCCAAGAGCCTCCAGGTTGGAGCGCCGCCGCCGAAGCCCTGCCGCACCGCTAGGCGTTGCCTCTTCTGCCACCGGCCTGGTACGCAGGGGTTTAGGGTTTAGGGTTCAGGGTTTAGGGTTTAGGGCGAATTGAATGAAGGCCCCCCCCCCCTCCCCACAATTCTTCGCCAGTGGCCTCCCTGACGAATAGGAGAAACTCCAGAGTCTTTGGACAGACATTTGCGGCAGCCAAGTCGGCCGGTGTGTGTGTGTGTGTGTCCGTGCTTGTTTTTGACATTGAGCTTGCTTGACACCAACCTTAAACCCTAAACCCTAAGCCGGTGCCGCACAAGAATGCATCCGTCCCCCCCCTCGGGCCTTAATCAGGATGCGCAGCGCGTCCACCCTGCAGTTAGCGGCGGCCATGTGGGCTGGGGTATCCCCTTTGTCCACGCCCCAATTCGAAAACAAAACCTCAACCTTCAAAATGCCGAAGCCAAATTCAAAATTCAGAACAAATGTCGGCACCTACGGGCTCTCGATCCCGCAGCTCTTACATGGTATCGGGCGTAGGGGGTTGAGGGTTTGGGGTCGATGGTTTGTGGTAAGTGGGGGTTTTGATGGGGCCACCCTGCCCCCAGTAAACCTCACCCCCGATTGATCCTGAGAATGCTTTCGTCGCCGCTACGATGGGAATCCTGGAAGATCGCGCGCTAGGTTCATTCCGAGAGTATACACGAACCTAGGACAACTGGGTGACACAGGCGATGACAGAGAGCCGTCAAGACCCAAGCACGATCGGACTCTGGCGGCTAGGGCCTCATCCAGGTGACATTGGCCTTCGGCGCAATCGATGCAGATGATCGGCTTGCTACTTAACCAAATCCCAACTGAAACAATGTCTGAAACTTCCAGTCGTTCCGTCACCCACATAGTCAGCTTCTCGCATGTACTCCGCATGTCGACCAGGAGAAGTTGTGGACGAAAGTCTGAGGGCTCGGTTGCGGCTATTTCATTTCCCAGCGTCGGCAGCTCGTAATTCCAAAAGACGGAATCGTGGAGCGACCACTCTTCCATTCGATCTAGGCCTTTGTTCAGAACAGCCACCACCGAAGACTGCTTCTGCAAAGCCATTCCATGCACGAAGGCTTGGCTGGCGCCGGTCCAGAAGTTCACAACCGGACCCTTGTCCCACATGCGCCATCCTTTGAAGCAAGGCGTGGAAGCCCCTGGATCGTCTCTGCAGCCAAGGAGGTCGTTGTTTTTCTGGACCACTCTGCCTAGAATGGTGCTGGGGTGGACGATACTCCGGTCCACCACGTCAGCAAAAGCCTCCAAGGCCGTCTGGTTGAGTCCTCGAGGATCGCCATCGTAGAAACCCGCCCATAACATCGCTTCTTGGGGTGCAGAAGCTAGTCTGGCGGCTAATCCCCAGAGCCTCCTCTCCCCAACGAACCACCCAAAGAGGTCCTGGAGGCATTCCTCTTCGGAAGCACCTTCTATCTTCCTACCCCAAAGAGGCCCTCCAGGAGTCCTTCTACCTCACTTCGGCACTGGTCTTCCATACTTTTCGTCATGATGGCCATCAGGGTGTCCAAGGTGTCCGGCGCAGACCAATTGCCCCAGCAGTCCTGCTCGCCAAGAATCGTATCAAGACTCCAAATAAAACTCAAAACCTGAAAGCGTGTGGGTGGCTCCGGGTTTCAATGTCCTCCTACCGGGATATGGAAGCATCTCTGGCAGCCCGGATCGCCACCGCAGGGATGGCGCCGAAGGCCAAGCACGCCATGGTTCTGAAGGAGAGCATGATGAGGTTCGCAGAGCACGGGGTTCGCAGGGGCAGGTCAGTGCCGAGCCCAGAAGCTCCGGTCAACCAAACCACAACTTTAACGGTTTAAGGTTCAGGTTTAAGGTTCAGGGTTTAGGGTTCAGGGTTCAGGGTTTATAGGGTTTAGGGTTCAGGGTTCAGGGTTTATAGGGTTTAGGGTTCAGGGTTTAGGGTTTAGGGTTTAGGGTTTTTAGCGGACCCAGAGCTGTCGTCCTGGAAGGACCATAACTCTGAGTAATCGGCTAGGCCACTCCATATGGGAGGATGGTTAAGGGTTTAAGGTTTAGGGTTTAGGGTTTAGGGTTTAAGGTTTAGGGTCTAGGGTCTAGGGTTTCGTTACAGCCAGAGGCAACGGACATGTCGCAAAGATGACACTGCTGGGGCGCTGGTAACCTTGGCAGTAAGAGCGCTAAAGGACGCTGCTGCGTTGAATGGGGATCTACACCCTTACGCATGGGGTTTGGAGCTTTTGGTTAAGGGGTTTAGGGCTTAGGGCCTAAACTCTCCTGTCCCCGGCCGGGTGCTTATGTTCATGGAAGCTCAGACTTCGACGCAGCTCCGGCTTTTGCACCTCGACCCGCCCCATGCGCAGGTGGCCGCTACACTCCGGCCAAAACCTCGTGCACAAGTGGAAGGTTGTCAACAGTAGGGTTCTGTTTTAGGTACCCTCAAAACGGAACCCTAATTGTGAGAACTATCCGAGTGGAAGAACATCAATTGCATCAGACTTGAAAGGGGCTTCATATCCTGTACATTGGCTTTTTGAGATTCTCTGAGGTATATTATTTAGGGCTTAGGGTTTAGGGTGTTAGAAATGCTTGATAAGTTTCAACCGGCACTAAACGGGTCTGCAGCGTCCTGCCAGGAAGACTTCCTTGCTTGCTTGTTGGCTTTGCAAGTTTAACCCTAAAACCCTAAACCCTAAAACCTAAGCCTAAACCCAAAACCCAAAACCCAAAACCCTAAAACCCAAAACCCTAAACCCTAAACCCTTACCTTCGTGGTTTTTGCAAGCTTCCAAGAGGCTTTGTTGACCTGTACAGTCCCATCGTACTTCCATCTTTTCTGTGTCAGACAGCCCTCAACCCTAGCACCCTAAAGGCCCTGAAGGCCCTAAACCCTAACAGGCCTTTAAAAGGTGCTGAAAAAAGGGAAAGTTGCGGCTTCGAGATGCTGTACGGCCTTAGGGTTTAGAGTTTAGGGAGTCTCCACTATAGCTCCTTTCTTGCTTAACCAAGCTTCTACTTGGGACCCTAAACCCTAGACCCCAAAATGCAAGCCCAAGCAGGGAACGAGGAGACTACAGATGCGCAGGACAAGTCTCGGATAGGCCAACTTAAAGGATTCTAAAGGGACCCTTACAGGCGCCCTTGAAGGAATCTGTGAAGGAACCCCTTAGATGAGCTGTAGGGATCTACAGACCCTAAACCCTACACCCCTAAACCCCAAAACCCTAAACCCAAAACCCCTAAACCCTAAACCCTAAACCCGAAACCCCTAAACCCCTAAAACCCCCCAAGGCCACGCCGTAAAACCCTAAACCCTACACCCTAAAACCCTTAGATGAGCTGTAAGGATCTACAGACTCGCAGTGCTGCAGAGTCCAAACTCCAAATGGTTTAGGGTTTAGGGTTTAGGGTTTAGGGTTTAGGGTTTAGGGTTTAGGGTGTGTGAGCCTTGAACCCTCCGGCCGAAGCTTGACAGTGGTGGTTTAGGGTCTTGGGGTCTTAGAGTTTAGGGTTAGGTTTAGGGTTTTTGGGTTTGGGGTTTAGAGATGTTTAAAGGTTTAGGGCTTTGGGGTTTTAGTGATCAGGGTTTAGACTCTAGGATTTTAGGGTCTAGGGTTTAGATGGGCTTAGGGCCTTTACTGCACGTGGAATTTTAAGTGTCATAGCTTAATGGGCATCGGTCATAACTGCATGGGAATGTGCCTAACTTATTGGGCATGTGTCTGGCATACTGGTCTTCGGTAATGATCGAAACCCTAGAGTAATGTAGGGGCCCTCAAAATTCGAATAGGGTTTTGGGGCCCATCATACTATGATTTTCCCTAAACCCTAGACCCTAAACCCTAAACCCTAAACCCCTAAAGCTAAGGAACCCTTGAAATAGTACTGGTAATTATTTAGGCTCCTACATTGCAGGCTCTACGCTTCAGGATTTATTCGGGCCTAGGATTTAAGCCTTCGGGTTCAGGATTTCAGCCAGAATCTCGGGTTTAAGATTGAAGCACTAAGGATTTAGGCGTGGGGGAGACCCTCCGAACACCTCAAAACAAACAGGGTTTCGGTTTTCGGGTCTCGAATATAGTCACCCCGAAGTCCTGAATTTAGGGTTAATGGGTTTAGGGCTGAGTACTCCATCGCGTGGAGA